GCTCTCGCCAGCTGTCACGACCGGAAATAACCCAACGGGCATTCCTTACGTGCGTGCATTATTCCTTATCCCAGGAGGCAAGGTACACCAAAAGTTGATACAATTCAGAGTTTAACAAGCGGAAGCGTAATTAATTAATCTATTACATGGGCGGCGAAGGCCCAGCACACAAGAAGACAAACGAAAAACAGCGGAAGACTAGGGCGACGACCACAGGCGCTTGACGGCAGGCACGAGCTAGACACCAAAGCCTTCATCTTCCAGGAACTCCTCTTCTGAGTTTGGGAAAAATTGAGCAAGACTGAGTACAACCACCGTACTCAACAAGACACATCCACAAGTGCAGAATAAATGCAAGGGAGTACAAGGGGGTTATAGTATAAAGGGTTAGGGTTTGCAGCAAACAGCGTTAAAAGACACTTAGTTGCTCAAAGCTATTTTGTAAACACGGTCCTAGAGCTATACAATATTATTAATCAAGGCCGTGAACCCACACGAACCTGCCTTAACCCAAGGCCTACGATGATTCAGACCGAATTGGCAACCCGACCCTGGGTCCTAGCTCGTCCCAAGCCAACCCAGGCCAACCATTCCACATTTTAGTTGTTAAGCAGGTTTTAAGAATTAAAAACACTAACTTAGGTACATTGCTCGGCTTGCCCATAACCGAGGGCGCGGCTATTCGAATAGGTTATACTCTGATCAGAGGTGTACATCTTTACCCACAAGACACATCTTCCTCACGTGTATCCACGTGCCACATACCACCACGGTATACGGACGGAAGACGTGACATAGTTTCCAACCCATCCTAGCCATAGACAAGAGTACCGACCCAACCCCACCTACGGCCGGAACCCCCGGGACAGGTAGGCAGGACTGAGCCCCGAGCAGCAGGACACCGGCCCTGTGCCATGACATCTCGACTACCGGGCCGCAGCTCGTGTAGCCTTCATTTGTCCTAGAGATGTCCATCGACCCCCGACTTCATCCATCTCCATCCGTGTACTTTTGTTTATAACCAGACTGAGCCACAAACTAAGCCTTACCCACTAGACATGTGGAAGTACGGTAGTGCTTTGCAACAGAGGCCCGAAGACCGATCCTTATATGGCCGAGGTGCTACTATCAAAACCATGCACCCCGAGCCCAGACTAAAACTATTTTGAGGGTTTTGAATAGAGGGGGAGGTGTGAATCCAATTCCACAATAATCCATCCATTCCATAGTGTCCAGGTGATGAGAATATTCCCAAAGTCTAGAGTTGTAAAACCACCTAATGTTGCCTAATTAACCAACGAAGCATCTACCTAAAATCATACTAGTGGTACCATGAGTAGAGTGTCCACTAGTTGGGGTTTTGTTTATTCTAGGGTGAACAAGGAAATAATAACAATAACAATAACAAGGTCATAACAAAGATAAATAGGCATGGCTAGATAAAACAGTGATAACGCGGGAATTTAAATAAAGCGATAATGCAATAATTTAAATCAAAATAATTTTATAAACTGGGATTCAATATGTTCAAGGATGATGTGACTTGCCTTGCTCGCTTTCCCAAACGTCGGCTTCAACCTCCACGAAGAGCGGATCTTCCGAAGCTGCAGCGTCTACACGACCAATGGAAAAGAAAAGGCTTTTACTCTAATAAACTCCATATAACAAGCAGGAACAAAGCACAAAAATGGGTTCTTGACTTCTTAAGGAAAAATTAGAGACTTGAACGGTCCAATTCCGAGTTCAAATGGCCAAGTTATGGCCATTTGAAGTTTATGTGCTCTTTAAATGAATATTTGCGAATTTCTTCATTTAAAATTTAATTTAAAAAGGGTTTATTGCGTCAGCCGAGGGGAGGGGGCGCGCGGACCGGGTCCACGGGAGTGGGGCCCACGCGGCAGCCTCACGGTCCACGGTGGACCGGGTGCACCCGGGCTCACACCGGTCGGCGCCGTGGGTCCCACGCGTCAGCCGCACCCGAGGGCGCGGGCGGCTGACGGCCGGGCCCCACGCGGTGGCCACTCGGCGCGCCCGAGGGCGGCCACTCGGCGCGGCCGGCGGGAGGCGGCGCCCGCGCCCCTATGGTCGCCGGCGGCGGCCATAGGCACGGCGGAGCGGCGGCCGAGAGAGGGGAAGGGAAGGGGGAAAAGAGGCGACGGTCCACGGCTCACCCTAGGTCGACGGCGGCGCAGAGGAGGCGGCCGGAGCGGAGGGAGGCGGCGGCGCGGCTCGGGTCGACGGGGTCGACGGCGTTCCGGCGGTCGGCGACCGAAACGGAGAGGTGGACGAGGTCGGCGAGGATGCGGCGAACCCAAAGGAGGCGGCGCCGAGGTGGGAGTTGGTCCGGGGCGACGACGGCGGCGGACCGGAGCTCGGCGGCGACGGCGGAGAGAGAGAGCGATGTCGCGAGCTCGAATCCGGTGAGGAGGAAGGGCGGCGAGAGGCGGAAACGGACGGAGGAGGTGTGGGGAGGGTTTAAATAGGGTTGGAAGAGGGAGAGAGCGGCCGGCGGGGAAGGAAACCGGCGCGGGAGGTCCGGCCGCCATCAATGGCGCCGGCGAGATTTGCGGGGGCAAATCCGCCCGTTTGAACGAGAGAGAGAGAGGGAAAAATAGGGGGAAAGGGAGAGGGGATCACGGGGAGTAATTCCCCCCACTTTATTGCACGTGGGGACGACGGGAGGCGGCGGGATTCGTGGCGGCGGCGGCGCTAGGGCACGGGGGAGGCGGCGGGAGCGGCGGGAGGAAGGGGATGACGGGTGGGCCCCACCAGTCAGCGAGGGTGGCGGGCGGGCCCGCCCGTCAGCGGCGCGCGCGGGGAGAGGCCGGATTGGCCGCGGGGAGAGGAGAGAGAGAGAGGGGGGGAGAGATGGGCCGGGCCGGCCCAAGGGAGGGAAGGGGGACTTTTTAGGGTTTTTCTTTTTATAAAATCTTTTTAACTTTGTTTATTTCTTAACAATTATTATTTGTGCTCTGAAAATTCCACTAAAATTTATTTACGTATTTTAGGCTTTTAGGAAATATACAAAAATCCTCTAAGCCTTATTTGACTTTTAACCTTGCACATTTTAATTGTTGGAGGCTTTCACACGGTTTTTAATTATTCTAGGCATAATTTAGAGGATGTATTTTAGAGTTGTGTTGGGACACGACACCAGCCGCGGCTCACGCTTGCCGCTAGCCGCCGCCGCCGCTCTATGCATGCTTCGTCGCCGTGGTAGCTGAAGAAGAGAAGAAGAGAAAAGAGAAGGAGAAGGAGAAGAGAAATAGGAGATAGAGCTGACATGTGGGCCCAAGGGCATTTTTGACATTTCACGCGATTTCTCTATCCTCTTCAACCGGAAATTATTATTTTAATCGGCGCGGTGTCCATTGACAAATTACCATATTTACGGAGTGTTTTCCCCCAAAAGTGAGTCTGGGCAATGTCCTATGGGTAAAACCATACATAAAAAGTGTTCTGTAGCAAAATTTCCCATAACTTTTCCCACCCCCGTAGGCTGAAAACATAAACAACCGGCACCTAAAATAAACAACCGGCACCTTTAAGTGACTATAGGTGTTGGTTCTAGAGATAAATTGAAACCAATATTATAGGTGCACATTGTTTTTTTAAAAAAAACCAACACGTTTAATTTATCATAAGTTCAGTTAATTAAAAACCAACACCTATAATATATTGTAGGTGTCGGTTTTCTAAAAACAGCACCAGTAAAAGACAAACCAAGCCGACTGTTCATCTTTATCCTCACGAACAGATAAGGTGAGAAGTGAACGACACTCTCCATCGCGCCTCTCTCTTCCCACCTGCGAGCGGTGACGCCCTCCCACCGCTAAATCTGGTTGGAGGGTAGGCATGGGGCTCCCTACATAGTGGCGGTGGTGGCACCTTCCCCTTCACCAGATCCAGCAAGAGGGATGGCGGCGGGCTCCCCACCCAGTGGTGGCAACGGAGGCAACAACCTCTCCTCCCGTGAGTAGTAGCGGTGGCGCCGTCCCCGACGCCAGATCCAACGGAAGGGGAGACGGTGGGTTCCCCACCCAGAGGTGGTGGTAGCAGCGTGCTCCCTGACATTGGCAACGGTGAGCGGCAGGCTTACTATTGTTGTGTTCTTAGTGTTCTTGTGTTCTTAGTGTGGCTTCATCAACTCTTTCTATGTGTTGTTGTGTGTTGATTTTGTTCTTTTATGTTAGATCGAACTTGATTGAATCGAGCCGATTAAAATGTTTATTCTATGATTGAACTCGATTGATCAAGTTGTTAAAATGTTCATTCTATTATTCTTTGGAATCTGGTCGGTGTGAACTGGAGCTGCTCGAATGAGCCGATGCATCAAGCCGACTTTGTTTTTTTCATTCTTGCAACACTACAACAAGAACCCCCCTCTAGCAATACATGCTTGGCAACGCATTAAGCATGCGTTGCCAAAATGCGACCCTAGCAACGCTTAGTAGTGGGTGAGCCCAATTTGCAATAGATAATATGTGTTGCAGAACATGCGTTGCAGAGATTGAGTATCTTGCAACGGCCGAATCCACTTTACAACAGATATCATGCGTTGCAATGGTCTTGATGCCCTATAAAAACTTTTAGAATAAGCGAACTTATTGTATTTTTTAAAATAATCGAGCGAGATATTTATTTTTACATTTCGGACCTCTAGCGAACTGTTTTTTAAAAGAAATTATGAAGTGAGTTGCTTTTTTTTTTCCTGTTAAAACTTTTGGACTAAGCATGCTTTTTAAAAAATAATAATAATTGAGCGAGCTGTTTTTTTACATTGTGTACTGGGCGTGCTGTTTTTGTTTTCTAAAAAATTTATCAAGCGAGTTTTTTTAAAAAAAAATGCCACAAGCGAAGTGGCTGCTGATAGGGGAAAAAAATAGGCTGCTGATACCTGATAGGAATAAATTAGGGGGGCAAAGATGCAAACAGATGATTCGAACCTAGGTCTCTAGGATAGAATATGCACAACCGAACCAACTGAGCTAATCACATTTCTTATTAAATGATTTCTTTAGTTGTTTATATTATAACAACTAAAATACGATCTGTGCACTTTAGCAGGCAACCTTAATCTCCCACCTTCTCTCCTCTCCTCTCGTGTCTCTCACCTCACCCAACACGCACGAGAGCGCCGCCCCATCCTGTTCCCACACTGCATCTCATTTTCTTCTCACGCTCTCGCACATCACTGCCACGGCGCACACCGACGGCGGCGGCGGCAGCGCGCATCGGCGGCCAGCGGCGCGTTCTCAGCAGCGGCGGCGGCGAGCCCGCGAGGGGATCGGCCGCGGCAGGCCGGCGACGGGCCGAGGCCGACGACAGCGGGTCAACGGCAAGCACGGTCCTTTTCTTAGCCACTTCTCATAGGTTGATTCCCCATTTGGCCCCAAATCCAGGTCAGTGTCAGATCCAGGTCAATGTCAGCTTTTTTTTTTATTATTCAGGTTTGTTGCATCATGAGTCTATCTGATTGAGTTTAATAACACCTGCAGATTTTTCTTGTTCATCCGAACGGATATTTGGAACATAGGTTTTAAACACATGTGCTTCTGGAGTCATCATCTGTAGATTAACTAGAGGTAATTTATAGTAAGGAATTTAACTTGGAGATGACAGCTTTGACATTAGATTGCTGGATGTTTTTTCTGTAAATTGATTTAGCTCTTCTCTATTTTTGCAGAGTAAAAGCTTTTGTTTCAGTGTATAAAGGAGGTCTATTAGGTTGTGACAAAATTAGCTGACACTGATTTTATACTGGTACTTTTCTAATTGCCCTATTTTTGCTACATCATGATCATAAGAGACAATTCCTTGTCATTGTTATTATCTACAAGAACCTGAAATATCAATTTTTTTTATATAGGTCGAAATGGATTTAGAAACCATCAAGATTCTTTTGCGCTACCCTAGAGGTTCTGTTGAGTACTTAGCTGGAGTAGATGGATTTCTTGAATTTGTATATAAAGATAAGTTAGAGGATACAAAGATTTATTGATTTAAGTTAGAGGATACAAAGATTTATTGATTTATTGTCCATGTGAAACATGCGTACATACTATGCTACTTTCAAAAAATGATGTCTATGATCATTTGGTGTGCAATGGAATGCTTCAGAGTTATGACCAATGGGATTTTCATGGTGAGTCTTCAGAGGAGCAAATTAGGAACCAACAACCACAGCCTCACAATGAAGACATGCGTGCTAACATGCACGAATTAATTAATGATGCACTTAGGACTGTGTATGACGACATGCCTATGAGTGATTCTGCAGATTCGCCATGTACACACACTGATGGACCAAATTTAGAAGCTCAAGCATTTTATAAGTTGGTGAAAGATTCAGAGAAGCCTTTATGGGATGGAAGTGAACTATCACACTTATCTCTGCTAGTGCTTTTGTTCAATATGAAATCCATGAACAAATGGAGTGATAAATCATTTGGAGATCTACTTGATATTCTTCACATGGCAATTCCAAATGGAAAAGAATTGCCAAAAAACTTTTATGAGGCTAAGAAGGTGGTTTCAAAATTTGGTCTAGATTATCAACAAATTCATGCATGTCCCAATAACTGTCAGCTGTTTTGGAAAGAGAAGGTTAATGATGATTTTTGTTCAACTTGTAAGGCTTCTAGATGGAAAGATAAAAAACCAGAAACCAAGTTAACGAAGAAAGAAAGAAAGAAAGCAACGCCAAGCAAAGTCTTACGATATTTTCCAATAAAGGAGAGGCTGAAAAGATTGTTCATGTGTAGAGAAACAGCATCGCTCCCACGTTGGCATGATGAAGAGCGCTTAGTAGAGGATGGTGTGCTTCGACATCCAGCTGATTCTCCGGCATGGAAGAACTTTGATAAAAGGTTCAAGCAATTTGCATCTGATTCTCGTAATATACGATTTGGGTTAGCTACAGATGGGTTTAACCCATATGGTATGTTGAGCTCTACCTATAGTTGCTGGCCAGTTGTTTTAGTAATATATAATCTTCCACCATGGCTCTGCATGAAGGAACCTAATCTTCTAATGCCATTAATAATTCCTGGGCCCAAAAGTCCTGGAGATAACATTCATGTTTTCCTCCAGCCGCTTCTAGAAGATTTAAGAGACATATTTGTCAATGGCATTTCCACATATGATGCATCTAGAAATGAAACTTTTAATTTGAGGGCAGCTGTACTGTGGACTATAAATGACTTGCCAGCTTTAGGAATGCTTGCTTCACATATGGTGCATGGAGAATTTGCATGCCCGCCTTGTGGTCCAAATGTATGGTCCAAACGTTTGGCACATGGGAAGAAATCTTGTTTTATGGGTCATCGTCGATTTTTGCCACCTAATCATGAATTTCGTTTTGATAGAAATTCTTTTGATGGAACCACAGAGATTAGTACAGAGCCTATGACTTACTATGGGCGTCCGGTATTGGATGAAATAAATGCTATCGGTGATTTTAAGAAGTCAAAAACTTATAAGGCAGTAAGTAGTTTATTCACACTACCTTATTGGGATGGCAATCTTCTTCGGCATAATCTTGATGTGATGCACATAGAAAAAAATGTGTGCGATAATATTTATGGTACACTTCTAAATTTAGAAGGAAAGTCAAAGGATAATCTCCAAGCTCGTCTTGATCTCAAGGAAATGAACATTAGAGGGGAGCTCCATCCACAACAAAGAACTTCAAGCAAGTTCTACTTACCACCTGCCAGCTTTACTATGTCCAAAAGTGAGAAGCAATTGTTCTGTAAAGTTCTTAGGGATATAAAAGTTCCTGATGGCTATTCTTCAAACATATCTAGATGTGTGAACTCTGCTGAAGGAAAAATTCATGGGCTCAAAACACATGATTGCCATGTTCTAATGCAACAATTGATGCCAATTGCTTTGAGGGGTATTCTTCCCGATGAAATCACATCTGTCTTGTTTGACTTATCTGCTTACTTTCGAGGAATATGTTCAAAAGTTCTCCATGTTGATGAGCTTGACCGTTTGGAAGAAGCAATTAAAATCACATTGTGCAGAATGGAAATGATATTTCCTCCTGGATTCTTCACTGTTATGGTTCACTTAGTCGTCCATTTAGCTACTGAATGTAAGATTGCTGGGCCAGTTTGCTATCGATGGATGTACTTTATTGAAAGGTACTAAAAATATATTAGCATACAATTTATAATATTTCTCATATGTCATATGATACAATACTAACTTATTAGTTTTGTGCCTTGTATGTATATTACAGGTACCTGGGTAAATTGAAGTCGTATGTTCGCAACAAAGCGCGTCCAGAAGGTTCAATTGCAGAATCATATTTGGCAGATGAGTGCATGGCATTTTGTTCACGATACTTGGAAGGTTTCCCTACCAAGCATAACATACCATCAAGGAATAATGACAAACCAGATCAATTTGAGACTCCCATGAGTAGGCAAGAATCCACTTTGTTTCCTCCAGTAGGAAAACCATTGGGAAAACCATCGGCGTACTCCTTAACTGATAGAGAGAAATTGCAAGCACATAGATATGTGCTATACAACTGTGATGCTGTAGTGCCATATCTGAAGTACGTATTGTCCTAACATAGTGTGGATATTATGGGTACCCCATACCCATACGGCATGGTTATCCGACTAGTTATAGGGGATAACTTATATTTATGTAATATGTAACAGATCATGACTTGGGTGTTACGTTTCCTTGTATATTACGGAACGGCCTAAAGTCCTGGTTTGATAATATTGTAAAGTAGATTTAGGAAACCGATACCGTATTGGTTAAGGTTTCTATCTTGTAATCCTACCCCCCATCCTATATAAGGTGGGCAGGAGGCCCTCTAGGGGGCAGATGAGACAACCTGATCGTCAGATCAATACACACCCGGCGGATTCAAATCCCCAAACAGGAGTAGGGTATTACCTCTCATTGAGAGGGCCTGAACCTGTCTAAATCCTTTGTCTCTACATCCATCCACTTTTAGGTCTCGTGCGCTACCCCCTTTTATTATTGCCGAATTCATGTTTCGACAGTTGGCGCGCCAGGTAGGGGTAAACGCCGAGTTTCCTGACGACGAGTGCGATGGAATCAACTTTATGAGTCGCCGGCTTCGTCTTCGCTTTGGGAGCTCCTTGATTCCTCGCCGCCGACGACTTCAACAAGACGAATCGTCGCTGCTATTCTCTGCCTGATCTTGTTCGCATCAGCACGACGGCAACGACGGGGCAACGACAGTTCGACGGATTTGATGGTCGTCCTCGTCCACCACCAAGCCTACTGGTCCAATCTACCCAACGAGGATGCCATGGTGTTGCAAGATGGATCTACAAACACGAAGCATGCCAAAACCGATCTAATCGGATGCATAGGAGACGGCTGCAGCCACGCCGATGCCTTCCTGCCGTCCTGCGTCGTGCTGATGGACACCAACGCCGCCCGCGACTGCGACCTCCGCCTCCTCCGCTCCGTCTCGGAGTCAGTCGAAGAGATCAATCTCGGCGAGTTTTTTCCTTTTAATCTCCGACTTCACCGGGTTTTTTTCCTTTTCAACTTATTGTTGTTTATTAGATTGATCTCTAAATGTCAGATTAATCTCTCTTGGTATTTTCTGCTTTTTGCATGTAACGCCGCGGCACTACTCTTGCCGACTTGTGTTTCCGTCTGCACGGCTGGCCTGTTATGCCGCCGCTGTTGGGCGTCTACGACTTCACCGCCGGCCTGCCTCCGTCGCCGCCGATTGGTGCCTCCGCCTACACGGCTGGCCTATTATGCCGCCGCTGTTGGGCGTCTACGACTTCACCGCCGGCCTGCCTCCGTCGCCGCCGAGTGGTGCCTCCGCCTACACGGCTGGCCTATTATGCCGCCGCTGTTGGGCGTCTACGACTTCACCGCCGGCCTGCCTCCGTCGCCGCCGAGTGGTGCCTCCGCCTACACGGCTGGCCTATTATGCCACCGCTGTTGGGCGTCTACGACTTCACCGCCGGCCTGCCTCCGTCGCCGCCGAGTGGTGCCTCCGCCTACACGGCTGGCCTATTATGCCGCCGCTGTTGGGCGTCTACGACTTCACCGCCGGCCTGCCTCCGTCGCCGCCGAGTGGTGCCTCCGCCTACACGGCTGGCCTATTATGCCGCCGCTGTTGGGCGTCTACGACTTCACCGCCGGCCTGCCTCCGTCGCCGCCGAGTGGTGCCTCCGCCTACACGGCTGGCCTATTATGCCGCCGCTGTTGGGCGTCTACGACTTCACCGCCGGCCTGCCTCCGTCGCCGCCGAGTGGTGCCTCCGCCTACACGGCTGGCCTATTATGCCGCCGCTGATTGGGCGTCTACGACTTCACCGCCGGCCTGCCTCCGTCGCCGCCGAGTGGTGCCTCCGCCTACACGGCTGGCCTATTATGCCGCCGCTGTTGGGCGTCTACGACTTCACCGCCGGCCTGCCTCCGTCGCCGCCGAGTGGTGCCTCCGCCTACACGGCTGGCCTATTATGCCGCCGCTGTTGGGCGTCTACGACTTCACCGCCGGCCTGCCTCCGTCGCCGCCGAGTGGTGCCTCCGTCTACACGGCTGGCCTATTATGCCGCCGCTGTTGGGCGTCTACGACTTCACCACCGGCCTGCCTCCGTCGCCGCCGAGTGGTGCCTCCGCCTGCACGGCTGACCTATTATGCCGCCATTAGTGGGCATTTTCGCTTTCACCGTCGACCGCCTTCGTCGCCGCCGACTGGTGTCTTCATTGTTATTGATGGACGACTTTGTTCCCACATTGGCCACTTCTGCCATCTCCAAGGGGAATATTACAAAGCTAAGTCATCATTTATTTTATTTTTTATATGATATTTTTCCTTTTCCTCTGCCTCACTACACCAATTGGTCTTCCATTGAGTAGTGAGTCGGGGGCTACAGATGTTATATCATATTTTTTATAATATTTATCTTGATTGCTTGCGACATAATCTGAGTACAAAAGTACCTATCGAGTTATGGAGTTCTATCTTCCTATGCTTTCCGTTTGGTTTGCTAATGGATGGTTGCCTTTGGGCCGATTCCTAGCACCCGGGGGCTCGTTGGATGGACCGAGTAACGCAAGGTGCTAAGTATTATTCGGAATAAATCAAAAGCATAGAGATGAGATAAATTTATTTTCTGCTCTTAATAATTGCAAAAGTACCCGAGTAGTAAATTCTGATCCGTGAAACTTTGTTCCATTAATGACGAACTCATATCACTCATATGCATGTTTGGGAAATGCCTAGGCCGACTCCCGATGCTTGTGGGCTATGACTAGTCGGACAGAGTGTTTAAACGTACAGAGTCATCTGCTCGGGGAAATCAAAATTGACAAGAGGAGAAATACATATTTATAAATATTTTAAAATACTTGATTTTTTCTCGAGTATTATATTTATATCAGATACTACTCATCCTATATGTTTGTTCTGCAGGATCCAGATCCAGATATGCATAAAAGGGATTCATGGCTTTAAGCTTATCTCTTACGCTCCAGGAATGGATCAGTCAGAACATCACCACCGGCTCGCCTCGGCCGCCGCCGACTGGTGTTTCCGCCTGCACGGCTGGCCTATTATGCCGCCGTTGTTAGGCGCCTACGTCTTCACCGACCGGCTTGCCTTCGCCGCCGCCGACTGGTGTTTCCGCCTGCACGGCTGGCCTATTATGCTGCCGTTGTTGGGCGTCTACGTCTTCACCGACCGGCTTGCCTTCGTCGCCGCCGACTGGTGTCCTCGCCTGCACGGCTGGCCTTTATGCCGCCGTTGTTGGGCGTCTACGTCTTTACCGACCGGCTTGCCTTCGCCGCTGCCGACTGGTGTTTCCGCCTGCACGGCTGGCCTTTATGCCGCCGTTGTTGGGCGTCTACGTCTTCACCGACCGGCCGCCTCGTCCGCCGCCGACTGGTGCTTCCGCCTGCACGGCTGGCCTATTATGCTGCCGTTGTTGGGCGTCTATGTCTTCACCGACCGGCCGCCTCGTCCGCCGCCGACTGGTGCTTCCGCCTGCACGGCTGGCCTTTATGCCGCCGTTGTTGGGCGTCTACGTCTTCACCGACCGGCCGCCTCGACCGCCGCCGACTGGTGTTTCCGCCTGCACGGCTGGCCTATTATGCTGCCGTTGTTGGGCGTCTACGTCTTCACCGACCGGCCGCCGCATCCGCCGCTGACTGGTGTCACCGCCTGCACAGCTGGCCTGTTATAACGCCAACTGATGCTATCTTCTTCACGGCTGGCTACATCGCTGTCACTACTAATAGGCATCAATATCTTCAACACAAGCTGCCTACGTTTGCCATGGCTGCCGACTGGTTTCTTCACTTCCATGGCTGCATGATTCTGCCAGTGTTGATTGGCCTTACCATCTTCATCGCTGGTCATCTCGTCTGCTGCTGACTAGTGTCCTCGCCTCTACATCTGGTTTATACAGCTACCACTACTGATGGACATCATCATCTTCCGTCGCCGACTGATTATGCCGCCGCCGACTGGTGCTTTTATCTTCACAACTGCGCGTCTTCACTACCGGATTTCTACTTGGACATCTTCAACACATATCTTCAATCAAGCAATGACTACTCGACGACAAGAAGCTATAATTCTCGACTCTATGTTCAGTTGTTTCCCAACTAATCAAAGAGTCGGGGGCTACACAAATACAAGGCTCAAAATTTGACAAATTTTATGTCAAGCTGAAGAAATTAATTCATCAACCAACGAGTCAACTCCAGGAGTCATTATCTTCATCTTTGCTTCGGAGCAGACATTCTACTTCAACAACTTCAAATATTTCGGTTTAGACGAGTTGGGCAACAACATCAACTCTCCTCCAAGTGAAGCATCTACAACAGTTATAACATTAATTTGATGGATTATTGTCACTGACATCATCACCAGCACCTCTGCTTCATCGACCCTGACATCTCTGCTGTTGCTAATGGATGATTATGTTTTCGCCGACTTATTATTTCACCTTCACGGTTGACCTACTATGCAAATGCTGATGAGCGTCTTTGTCATTATCATTGGTTGCTACACTGCTATTGGCTGGATCACCGACATCGTCATCTTCATCATGTCGGTTGCGTTTGTCGTCGTCAACTACACAACTTTATCGCTGAGCGCCTTCATATTCATTGCTGGCTGACCTGACTGCCGCCGACTGGTTTCTTCGCCTCCATGGCTATGCGACTTCAGTACTTTTGATTGGTATCACTATCTTCACTACCACCAATATTTTTGCCACCTCTGGTGGGCAATATTCTCTCTATATTGGTTGTCTTGTCTCTATGCCAACTGCGTCAGCTACCATCAATGAACAATTGTGACTACGTGTTCAGGGGCTTATTAGCTCAAATACAAGTATTATATCTTCAATTTGGACTTGCTCCGGATACATGCAACATGAATTCATGATCATGGGTCTATTTTATATGCTCAAAGACTGGATTATTTATTATTCCCCGTAAGGGTTATCAACTGAATACTTGCGCCAGTCGGGATTCAATTGTTACATCTATTTTGGAGTATCCCATAAGGGATAACCACTCAGATCAGAAGCTATTCATATGAGCTACGCTTGGTCTATATTACTCGGAAGATTTATTACTCGGGAGCATGTCACATGCGTCATCCTTTAAAGGGTGTCGAAGGCATATTTTTTGGCCTAGGCCTAATATGTCTGCAGCCCATATTTTCAGGTGTGGCCTGTCACGTTCTTTTAGGGACTTAGGCACTTTTTGCTTAGGCCAAAGTGCGCGTGATCAAGTGCCCAATACCTTAAAATCCTTTTATACCGCAGTTACTTAACTTTTTAGGAGTTGGTACAATGCATCTTAAAAGGTGTCAAACAGTAAAGCTTTATATAACTGTCCCGCTGACTTTTTTATATATAAGTCAAGGTGCTGTTTGGGTTTTTAAGCAATTGATTAGGTACAATATCATTGCTTTTCGCCACGTAAGTGTGCATTTTTATTGACCAATATTATGGCTTAGGCTGATTATATATTGTGGTCATTTTCTAGGCGGTTGGTAAATCCTTTATGAGTTTATTTACTCAGATTTTACACCACATATGCCATATATTTCCAGGTGTGGTGAAACCATGTGTCTTCTAGGGACTTAAGCACATCTGTTAAAGCAGTGTGCGCATGGCGTATGCCCAATACTTTGGAAATTTCTTTATTCACAATATACAAGCTTCTTTATAGCTATTTTGCTATATCACTCATCATATTTTACAAAGCAGTTGGTATATCACTCGGATCATGTTATTTGGAGGATTCACACCGCATATGCTATATATTGATATCAAGTCACTTGGTTGATTACGATTATCAAAACCACTCGGTTGGTTGGATTATTTATTCCTTGACTATATGCTTGGTTTGTTCAATTAACCACATTGTCGGGGGCTACACCTATTAGGTGCATCTAGTCGGTGCACCTGACTTTATTTTCCAGCCCTCCACAGCCTCCACAGTCTTCAGATTTGGTAAAAGTACTCGGGAGACCATGACAAAGATGATTGAAGCACTCGGCTTTGGAGTAATCTGGTTCGAGAGAAAATTATCTTTTCGACTGCGAAGGTCTCAGGGGCTACTGTGGATATTATGGGTACCCCATACCCATACGGCATGGTTATCCGACTAGTCATAGGGGATAACTTATATCTATGGAATATGTAATAGATCATGACTCGGGTATTACGTTTCCTTATATATTACGGAACAGCCTAAAGTCCTGGTTTGATAATATTGTAAAGTAGATTTAGGAAACCGATACCGTATTGGTTAAGGTTTCTATCTTGTAATCCTGCCCCCCACCCTATATAAGGTGGGCAGGAGGCCCTCTAGGGGGCATGAGACAACCTGATCGTCACATCAATACATACTCGGCGGATTCAAATCCCCAAACAGGAGTAGGGTATTACCTCTCATTGAGAGGGCCTGAACCTGTCTAAATCCTTTGTCTCCGCATCCATCCACTTTTAGGTCTCGTGCGCTACCCCTTTTATTATTGCCGAATTCATGTTTCGACACATAGCCTTTTTTTTTATGTGTTGTAAGTGTTTTGCTTCAAATTTATGTTTATTTGTTTTGCAGAGAACATGCTGCTGATTTACAAAGGAAGAAACGCAAAAGGCTAACTCCAAAAAACATTGAGAACATGCAAAATGAACAATTCCCTGATTGGTTCAGAGATCATGTAAGTCTCAAAATTTAGGTTTCTCTTTTTCAAATATGAGTACAACTAATACATCTTTTGGTTTGGTGTAGATCTTGCAGTTGGAGAATCAAAGAGGTATCGATAGTATTGACGAGGATATTAGATGGTTGGCACGTGGACCAATTGAGGTAGCAAAACGACATAGAGCATTCAATACCCGTGGGTATAGGTTCAGATCAAAGCGTTATGACAGGGTGACTCAAAACAGTGGAGTTGTTGTGACTGCAAAAACATCGAGCTACACGTCCGCCAGTGATACTAACCCTGTCCTTGGTGATATCATGTATTACGGAAGGATACTTGATATAATTGAGTTAGACTACTATGGAAATTTCTCAGTTGTGTTGTTTAAATGTGAATGGGTCGATGTAACTAAAGGAAAAGGAGTGAAAATAGATAAGTTTGGCTGCACACTTGTGAATTTCTCAAATAAAATTCATACCGGTGAAAAGATTGAGCATGAGCCCTTTGTATTTGCAAATCAAGTCGACCAAGTGTTTTACATTGAAGACCATTTAAATCCAGGGTGGTCTATTGTAAGGAAGATGAAACCCAGAGATGTATTTGAACTGGGCGAAGAATGGAATGATGTGGAATGCGAACCATACCATGTCAGTAATCTTGGGGAGCTATTTGACAGTGCACATGATGGTCAGACATGGATTCGAAGAGATATAGAAGGAACAACTGTCGATAACATGGTAACTAATTAAAGGTGAGGTTATGAAGGTTTTTCACTATCTATCTATCCATTATCAATGATTTCCTTATATTGTTTATATCTTCACTTGGGGAGCACTTTATTTTTATGGCAGTAATTTTGGATGGAGATTTACTGCGATGAAGGCTTCTTCACCACAATAGCTTTTCTGGATGAAAATGTCATTCGTATATTTCCTTGGATTGTCTAAGTGATTGAGCCAGATCGATTCAACTTTTTATTTGCATACATAAGTCCTGTAATAATGTTCTACATTAGTTATATACAGAATTGGTGGTTAGATCTTATTTTTAAATATCCAGGATATCATATTGTTTATATGATGAGAAAAAGGAATGGGCGTTTATAATCTTTGCATCTATTGTGTTATGTTATTCCATTTCCAACTATATAAATACCTGGAGAAAATTATTTATGTTGTCAATGGCACCTAATGTGAATAAGTAAGTCGAACGGACAACTCCAACATGAAGTGGACATGGCCTGGTGGTACATGGCTTCTTCAGCCGTATTGAAGACTGTAGTTCAAATCCTAACAAATGCATTTTTTCCATTTCTTTTTTTTCCCTATCCTTCTTAGCTGGCCAGATAACGAGAATTTTTTGAACTTTTTATTTTTAATTTTAAAATTAAACCGATCGAAAACTTATTTTTTCAATATAAATATTTTTGGCCACAGCAACTATTATTTTAGGACAAAATATGTTATGGATTTGATCATGCGATCAGTATGGACCGAGACGACAACGAAAAAACATGTGGTTTTTTTGGTCGTGCTAACATAAATTAAATAACAATTATTTAAAGAAAAAATATTTTACATCCTAATTTTATACGGCTTGTCCAGACCGTGTCGACAAGAAAAAACAAGTGGTTTATCAGTCTTGCAAACATAATTTAAATAACTATTATTTTATGACCAAAAATATTTTACATCTCAATTTCATACGGTCTGTCCAGACTGGTCGACAACGAAATAGCACGTGCCTTTTCGGTCGTGCTAACAGAATTTAAATTTCCATCTTATATAAATACCTGGAGAAGTCTATTTACATTCTCAATTGCAGCTAACGTGAAAAAATAAATAAGGGGGACATAGCCTAGTGGTACTTAGCTTCTTCTACTGTATTGACAACTCCAGTTCGAGAACTAGCAAATGCATAATTTTTTCATTTCTTCTCTAGTGGCAATTCCTAAAAACTTTTTCCTCTCCTTGAACGGGAAAAAAAATTCTGTTGCCCCAGAAATTTTTTAATTTTTTGAACTTTTTTATTTTTAAATTTTAAAAATAAACCATTCAAAAACTTATTTTCAGAATATCCGGATTTCATCCGGTCTGTCCGGACCGGGTCGACAACGAAAAAACACGTGTTTTTGTTGTGCTATGATAAATTAACTAACTACTATTTTAAGACAAAAAAATATTTTACGTACAGATTTCATACGGTCTGTCCGGATCGTGTCGACAATTAAAAAACACGTGGTTTTTTGTTGTCCTAAAAAATTAAATCACTGTTATTTAATTATATATATTTTTCATGTGGTCTGTCCGGAACGGGTCGGCAATGAAATAACACGTGATTTTTTGGTCGTGCTAACATTTTTTAAATAACTATATTTTAAGACCAAAAATATATTGCATCTCTTTTCCATGCGGTCTGTCCGGACCGGGTCGACAATGAAATAACACATGATTTTTTTGTCGTGCTAACATTTTTAATTAACTATATTTTAAGACCTAAAATATATTATGCCACTTTTTCATGCAGTCTATCCGGACCAGGTCGACAATGGAAAAACACGTGTCTTTTCGGTTGTTCTAATATAAACTAAATAACTACTATTTTAAGACAAAAATATGTTATGTCCGAATTTCATCCCGTTTGTTCGGACCGGGTCAACAATGAAAAAACACGTGTTTTTTTTGTCGTTCTATGATAAATTAACTAACTACTATTTTAACACAAATTTTACGTCCAGTCTTTTCGGTCGTGCTTAGATAAATTAAATAAGTACTATTTTAAGACCAAAATATGTTACGTCCAAATTTCATCCAGTCTGTCCAGACCGGGCCGACAACGAAAAAACACTTGTTTTTTGGTTGTGCTAAAAAAAATTAAATTACTGTTATTTAATTATATATAATTTTTCATGCGGTCTGTCCGGTCAAGATCGACAATGAAATAACACGTGATTTTTTTATCGTGCTAATATAATTTAAATAACTAGTTTGACGGACAAATCAACCCCAAATCGATCTGAATTTAGCAATTTGTGCCTCTCCGAAAATTATTTTCTTCTCCCTCCACTCTTTCCCTCCTTTTTTTTTGCTCCCGCAATTTTTTTCTCAGTTTTCTTTTTTTTGCCGCCAACTTTTTTTTTTGCCCCCACCTTCCCCATCGAGAAAAACAAGCCAACTGCCCCTAAAAATCTCTTTCCTCTATCCTGACTCTCTGAGTAAATCTCTTTCCTGTTGTGGGATTCCTTTCTCCTATGAACTCTCCCGTCGTTCTACGGTTCTCCTCCTCGTCTTCATCGGTGTTGATCTGTAGGTAAGATGCCGGGCGCTTTACTGACCCACAGCCCCAAGCAGGCGCTCCTAGATCTTCCACCGCTCCGCTCCGCCGGCTGCTGTACCAGCCATCGCTGCTGTCGCACCTTCCTGCCGATTAACAGCCACGAGCAGGCGACCCCCATGCCCCATGGATGACGTAGGGCATGCGGCGGGCCAGAGACGCCCCCAGCCGATGTGCCGGGTGACCGGGGCACTGCAATTGATGCGGGTTATACCTCCCGACACCGGCTGTCCACTTCGCTCTGCTCCACGCCGCGCGGCTGGCGGCAATGTTTCCAAGCCCCGGAATCTCTGCCTCCCTCTGCACATCTTACTACCTCTCTGAGTCGCCAAATTGCAATGGAGGCTAATTCCCTTCCAGTACTACAATACTTACCAATTTGATGTGTTGTATTTTCAGGTTTGGAGTCAGATGCACTGACCGTCCATAGCTGAAGGAGCCTGGTGTACGTACGGCTAGGCTTCACACAACTGTAAGCAATACAATATGTGATCTAGTTTTACCTTGCAGCCAATTAAATTTTGTTATTTCTACCCATTACTTGTTTCAAATTGTTGGCCTATAAAATGGACAAATGAATTAGTGAGTATGACAAACAGATCCATATTATAGCATTACTTTTGGGACAGCAGTACTCTGTTGTTCTTCAAAAACAAATCCAAAATGGCTCAGGGTATAATCAATTCTGAAATTATTCTTTCTGAAACTATGTACAGCACAGTCCTACTTCTAAAATGAGAATGATATACTTTCGACGCCATAAATGACAGATAGGTTTTTTTTGGGTGCAAGAGATATGGCAAGGAGTAGAAGAAGGCGTATTGTTCAGAGCAATGAGGAATATTTGTCAGAGGAACAGATTGAAGAAGAAAATACCCTTCCACAGCTTGCCACACCATCTGAACAAGAAACTGTATGTCATGATTCTGGAGAAGGCAATGAAGACATTGATGACGATTTTGATATCAATGATGGAGAAGGTAATGAAGACACTAATGACGATGTTGATATTGATGATGAAGGCAATGAAGATACTGATGTTGATATTAATGTTCGAGGTAACTGCTAAGTTTAACAGTCCTAATGGTAAGAAATAATGACATTATTACTCGTATCCCTGATTACTAAGGATCACTTTTGTCTTTGCAATTTAACACCGAACAGTTGAAAATGGAGCACCTGAAACACGTGGCAAGACAAAACTGAAAGATGTTTGGAACCTTCCGAAAGGGCTTAGAATTGTGGTTCAATGCAATGATCTCAATCAGGCGGTAGGGGAAGAAGCTGGAATTTTGGGTAAATTTCTTGGAATGATAGCTAGGAATGGTAGTCTGTGTAGCTTAGGCTACACAGACTGGAGATATGTAATAGGAAAGAGAGAGAAAAATACAAATGAACTAAAAGTTAAAAAGGACATACTTAAGCAAGTAAAGGTAATTCCTTTTCAGATCAACATTTTTGCTAACTTCTTGTATTATGTTATGCATATCCCCATATGGCCATATGAGTTTCTGTGTTGCTATATGTAGATGAGATTCCTTTATGCTCCTCGGATGGAAGAGTTCATATTAAAAAAAATTGGAGAAAGATGGCGGCAATATAAAGCAAAACTAAAAGATTTGTATTTTGATGTGAATGAGACTAAGGAAGCTAATTGCAACAATGTCCCAGAAGGTGTGCTTTCTGACCAGTGGATTGCTCTTGTCAATCATTGGATGAACGAGAAATCGAAGGTACATGTACCATATTCATTTCTGTAATGGTCTTACAAATTAGAACTCTGTACTAAACAAAACAATGCAATATTCTTTTTTGATTGCTAACTCTACGAGACCATAACAGAGAATAAGTGAGCAGAATAAGAAAAACTGCCAAAAGAAGAAGGCAATTCACACAGCAGGGACAAAGAGTTTTGCTCGCACAAGAGAAGAGATGGTAAAACATGTCTTGAATAGTATTCATCTATTTCCATTTCAAGCATGTATAGCTACTGTTAGGACTTTACTGATTTGGTCATGTGTTCCATAGAGACAAAAAGATCCTGCAAAGAAGAACCCACATAGAGCTGTTGTTTATGTCCACACACACAAGCGCAAAAGTGACAAGAATATAAATGGGCATGTGGTATACTATTAACACTCAACCATAGATATTTTTCAGTTATTCTCATATGTTGTTTTATTCGTATTAATTTTTCATATGTTTAGGATAATTTGAAGAGACTTATAGCTGAACAACCAGCTTTAGCGGATGCTAGTAAAGGAAAGACTGCTTGGAAAGGAGATGCATTGAACCAAATACTAGGAGATGACAAGCCTGGGCGTGTGCATGGTCTTGGACTAGTTCCAAAGCCTAAACAAGTGCTTGATGTGCCAACTTCCCGACGTTTGCAGAATATAAATCTTACTACAGTGGAGGATAACTCCAGTGAAGATGTAATGGCTATTAGACTGCAGATGGAAAAGTTAGAACGCCATGTTGAGAATAATGATGCTAAACTTTTACAATTAAAAGAGAAGGCAACCAAGTTGGAAAAGGCACAAAAGAATCAGGTGAATTTAAGGGAGTTGAGTCTTAAAAAAATTATATGAGCTTGTGTGTGACCCAATGAATGCATCTAACTTACCTAATTGAAGTTACAGGGAGGTTTAGATGGAGCGTCTACAAACAAAGAAGCTATTTGTGATGACATACCTAATTCAAAAAGGAGGCTATGTATCTTTATGGAAGAAATATCATAACATTTTCTGCATTATCTCATAAACTGTGGTATAGATCTCTGTTCATTTTCTGTTATGGACAGAGAGTGTATGGTGACAACCCCTCGCAAGAAATTTGTATGTTTGAGGAGGGAAACATTATGGATCAGCAGGACAACAGTTTGATGGTAATGTGATATAGCACCATCTTATAACTGGGAATAGCTGTGTTTTTTTACTTGGGAATAGCATTTATTTTCTCTCTTTTACTATAGAATACACAAAGCCATGTGCACGATGAGAATTTGCAACCACCAACTAAGCATTCTACTGTTTACAAGGTCCTTGCCTTTGCATTTAAAATATTATTATATATATATATATTCACTATTATTTACATAGCATTCATTATAATCATATGCCTTCTTTTACTCTAGAATACACAGTCTTTGGGCCAGAATCACAGTGGGAAGCAAAGGAAGATTACTTCCTGTGCAAACAAGGTTAATTTTCACTTTTTCATTAATTGGAGTGCATGATGTCAGAGTAAACAAATAATTGGAACATTATAGTTTGTGCCAATTTTATGACCTATTCCATTGCAGCGCAAAGGAAATTTGGACCAGAATGAGCTTATGCAACCAGGGAAGAGTATTTCTAGTGCATACAAGGTAAGTTGATTAAGTTCTCTCTTTATCCTTTCAAACTCAATGCCATAGTCAATAAGTGTTTGAAAGTAGCTTAATTTCGATATATAAATATATATATAGATTTGTAAAATTTATTTGTTACCTTCCACTGTAGAACAATAAACCTGACAACCAGGACAACTATATGTTGAATGCACACAAAGTTACAAGTACACACAAGGTTATTTTTTCATCACTTTAAGTCACCATGTCTACAGATATAAGCTCTTTGAAACTATAACACACATGATTTACTAGTTATAATGATTGTATTGCAGAACAAAGAGAACCTTACCCGCAAGCTTGTTAGACCAAGCCTAAACAAGTATAGTACTGCTTCTAAGGTTAGTCTAATTGTTTCAAGTTCAAAATGCTATTTCTATTTATTGAACACTACACAACAACTAAAATAGCACACACATCATGTTGGTTTTTACTGTAAATTCTCTCTATTTTTTCAGAAACGGCAATGCAACACAATGGACTTTTTAACTGACAATTCAACAGTGGTAAACCTTGCTAATATTTTAGTCTAAATAGTTTAATAAAATCTGGTCTTAATGTCCTTTTATTTTCCACTGTGATAGAAAGTGTATGGTGACGGTCCCTTGCAAGAAATTTGTCATGTTGAGCAGGAAAACATTGTGATGGTAATATACATAAATTTCATTGTTTTATACATGGGAATAGTTGCACTATTTTGTAACTGGGAATATATGCTCTCTTTGACAACAGAATTCACAAAGCCATGTTCAAGATGAGGATAAGACACCACCAACCAAGCATGCTACTGCACACAAGGTCCTTGTCTTTCAATTTATATTTTTATTCTGAACTCACCATGGTTGCATCCTATTATATGGTTATCATGGATACATAGCATTATATTATTTGGTACTGTTTGTAACTAACTATGAATGTTTACTATAGTTCATGATAATGTGATGTATTCTTTTATTCTAGAACAAACGAACCTTTGGCCTAAATGACCATGGGAAACAGATGGAGATTATTTGTGCCAAGGTTAGTTTTCACTTCTTATTGAGTTCAAAAGTTATTTGATAGAAAAGTTTGAAAGTAAAATTTCTTAATATATATAATTTTAGCACTGATTTGTTGCCCTCCCCTATAGAACAAGAAACCTGACAATCAGGACAGCCATATGGTACATGCACATAAAGTTGGTGGTGCATACAAGGTTGTTTTTTTATTCACCATGTTTACAAATATCAGTCCATTCAAACTATAACATGCATGATTCACTAGTATTATGATTGAATTGGAGAACAATAATTGGCTCTGTTTGGTCTTTCTTTCTTTCTATCTTGTGGTTAAATTGCAAACCATGATCCAAATTTTTTTTTATAGAAACAACAGTGCAGCAAAATGGACTTTATCACTGACAATTCAATGGAGGTATTTTACTGTGAAATTATTTATGATACTTGAATTTCTTAAAGTACATTGATAATATTGATGGATGTATTTATGCACTTCAGGTTGGAACTAAAGTATTCTTAAAAAGTTGGAAAAATCGGAATACAAACATGGCTCTTGCCACTATTGTAAGTTGTGATCCAACACGCAGAGTTGGAGGTGTTGAGCTAGGAAATGAATTTTTAATGGTTCATGTCGATCTTGCATTGGCAAAATCCGAAGATTTGATTAGGCTATACAAAGGCTACAAAATTGTTGGTCATGTTGTAGGACTTGAAATTGCGTGGTCTGCAATTTTCGTATGTTCCTATCTCTTACTTCTTACTTCGGAGATGTGCTTTTCGTCTTCATAATGGTATATTAATGCTTATATATTTTTTCTATTATAGGTTGACAAGATAAATGGGTGAAGATGTGGGGGAAATTTCGTGACTGCCAGTACGCAACTAGGTCACCTGTACATGTCACGGAATGATGATGGCTGCAAGGTGGAGAATGGGGGCAACAAGATGTGTTTTTTTTGTATATACTTTAGATTCTATTTTCTGCATTAATGTTCTGAACAAAGGTTTAATGCCATGAATTATGCTGATGATTGTCTATGTAATGCAAAATACTATATTTAATATATAATCGATTATCATGATTGATTGGACTATTGTCACTTGTGCATGCTTTGAGTTCATGGGTCTCTTGCCCGACAAAATAATTGGTCAAAGGCCACCAACAGTGGATAGCTCAAATTACAATATTTGTACATGTTGCAGCAACTTGATTATATCCATTGCTAAGATTATATAAAACTGTTCATCTCTCAAGGGAACAACATATATAAGTATTGTTGAAACCTATTAAAATTGTTGCTAAGTAGCAACGCTTATTCCCACTTGTTATCAACAGTTGTCTATGTGTTGTAATTGATCCTAGCAACAGCAGCATAGGCAACGCATATTAAATGCGTTGGTGCAGACCCTAGGAATACTTATAGAGACTTTTAGGCAATACATATATGTATTGCTAAAGGGGGGTTCCTCTTGTAGTGCAGCCTCAAAGGTGCTGGTTTCTAAAACGCCACCTTTGAGGCCTCCTCAAAGGTGCCGGTTGGGAAATCCGATACCTATGTCTAGTTCCCAACTGGCACCAATCCCCTTTTCTGTAGTAGTGTGTCATTCTTCTCGCCACAAATGTAGATAATGAAAATATAAATAAAGGTTGGGGCATATTTGCAAACTCCAGACCGTTGCCATGGACTTGAAATCATTATATATGAGGAGCTAAAAAGTTGCCATCATGTACATATCTTAGCATTATTCAGGAGAAACAGAGATGCCTCACTATACCATCTTCTAGTTTTATATATGCTATCAAAGATATGATTTGATCACGACTCGATGTCGGAAAATGTTACACTCGTCAATATCTTGCATTTCTGATTTAACTTTGATGCCAGGTTTTCCATCTTAACTCTTTCTGTACAGCTATCACTCGAACAACACACAATACTTTGCTACTAACCTCTTAGACCTTCTAGGGCAAGCTTCTTGTTTCCTCATCCACTTGTAGAACACATAAACAAAAAATGCATTGACAAATGTTGCAAAAACATGAAGCAACGAGTCAATGCTCTCACAAATCACAGCTGTAACCAATGCCTGTATACCCTATATTTATGCATGATGATTCATCTAACAGACCTTGCCTCCTTTTTCTTTTTGGCACCAGGGAAATTAATAATTGCATTAGGACTGGGATGCAATGGGAAAGACAGGCTATGTGACAGTCTATGCGACTGTGAGGACGCTTGGAGAAGCGACTCTTCCATGCGTGGTGCAGGATTCGCAACAGCAGCAAGGGAGATGGACTGTCGGCTATGTTGTACTCAAGGGATGAAATGTACTGTAACAAGTATGAACTAGCAACTTGACGGTGGCTCAATCCTGTTGGGTTGGAGCGATTAATCCAAGAAAGTTCCCTCGAATCCTTGCGTGATCCAATTGGCTGCCTCTGACAGGTTGTAGAGTGGATCTTAGACTGTATTTCTGCAAGATAGCTTAAGCTTTAGCACTAGGCTTAGGTTGTGTTCGGTAGTAGGCATTGGGAGCTTCATGCAGGACACAATGACTTATTAGCACTCGATTAATTAAGTATTAGCCAAAAATATTGAAAAAATAAAATAATATAATTTTCTAAAGCAATATTCTTATAGAAGAATTTTGCAAAAGATGAATCGTGCTAATGGAAAACAAGTGAGTAGAAGATAGGAAGAGGGAGTATCGAACATATACCCTAAGTGTGTATTTGGTATTGAGGGTTAGAAACCCTTTTTCGTCGACATGCAAAACGGAGCAGCGGATTAGCGCATGGTTAATTAAGTATTAGATAAAAAAAATAAATTAATATGATCTTTAAGGCAACTCTTGTATAGAAAATTTTCATAAAAGATGCATCGTTTCACAATTCAGAAAGCATGTTTGTGGAAAACTAGAGTGTGTTCTATACTTCCGCTTCCCAACCTTTACTCCCCCATTTTCTATGCACACGCTTCCCGACTGCTAAACGGTGTGTTTCTTTTAAAATTTTTATACTAATAATATGAATCTATTTTCAACTATTTTCAGCTAATACTTAGTGGCAGACACACCCACTGGGCAGGGTGGGTCGGTCGTCCCAACTACGATCCATATTGCCCCACACCCCCAAACCTCATTTATAATCTTGTTTCTAGCACATCAGTTATCCTTATCAGTCCACTATTGAATAATCCTATAAATTAAGTATTTTAAGTAGGACAAAAATATTTATGAAAATTGGTGACTGAATGATTATTATCTCTGTATAAGTAGTACCATTTTCAATAGTTTGGTAGGATTGATAGAAATAAGCAGTACCATTTTCAATAGTATTATTTCTACATATAAGTCATACTTGCACATTACTTTGGTAGGATTGATAGATCCATTATAACCTACCTCTTAACATTTTGTTATAATTTTTATCCATATTTACATATGTTTTGAAGGACTTTGAAAGTATTTTGATACTTTGATAATTGTATCATTTATGGCTTAGAAAATTTCAGCTTAAAATACGACTTATATAAAGAGAAACAAAGAAGAGATGCTATTAAGCAGCAATGCAAACCATTTTCAATATTTTAGGGTTAAAATGACCAAAATATATTTTAACCCCAATGATCAAATAAAATTGTCCGGGGGGGTGAAATGGATTTTTTTAAATATGAATATTCCCAAATGCCTATAAATTTGTTTTTAATAAATAATTTTATGTTCAATCATTTTCATCCCTAATTCCTAGCATGAGACATCCAGCGTCTCTCATCTTCGTGACTAACCTACTACCTCTTCTATCTAACTCTGACATTTGTTCGACTATTAATTTTCGTGTGTGTTGTTGTGCCTGTGCCATGAACCGGCGATTATGGTTTATGTGCGTTGTGCCATTATCTAATTAGGACTAGCTAGCTCTTTACTAGATACCGGTCCATCTATATTTTAAAGCTATGTGACCAGCGTCCGTCACTAGGAACAGAGTTTGCCCTGGTTATCCATAGGGCAAAGGAACGTTTACCCACCCTTAAATTTTAACATGGCTAAGACAGTTTTAAGATTTTCACATGTAAATATGTAATTGTAAATTTATACTATTATATTTATGCACTGTTGGAGCCTCTCCTACTGTATTTTTCCTAAAAAAAAGGTTTTTTTTGGGGGGGACGGCAGGACAACAGACTTTTGGAGGGCCAAATGGACTGCAGGGGGGCAACGTTCCTAACTCAGTGCCAACGTTTTATGAGGACAGAAGTGCATGAACAGCTTTATGAGGGCATTCATTATCATTTAACGTGGTTTAGCTACATCTCATAACTCTGTCAGTTTAAACATCGTTTGCTGCTCCCTATAAGTGTGCTACAGCCGCTTCATGCTCTGATGACAATGCTGCCATCTCAACTTGTTCTACTCCATGATTCGAGCAAAAAAAAAAAAACTTGCTAGGCATCTCTAGGACTTCCTAGTGCAAACTCTTGTTTCCTAGAACACAGAAACAAATTGCAGCAAAAAACATTGCACACAACTATTGAAGCAACTAGTAAATCTATGGTGTTGACATACCACATATATCTAACAATGCTCTCTCTCAGTTAGAAATCATAGCATGAGAACAGCAACTTCCCAACATCATCTACTAGCCTACATTGTCACGATAATTCAAATACATTCTAGCTTCAATATCCGGCAGTTCCACTTTGTAAGTTGAATCGATATGAACATGTAAATTAGAACTTTCCATCATCTCCTGTAACCCTATGTTCATATCGATTCATCATACACTTACCTAGCTAGGCTTCTCTCTTAATTTCAGACAAGCAGGCAAATATGTATGTTAGGACTGGGATGCATTATGAAAGATTAGGTATAGGAAGTACGGACACCTCGCACCAAATAAGTTGTTCAAGCAAGTTCTGATGCCACGCCACGCAACATTATTATACCTCCAAGTAGTGATAGGATAATTTCATTCTTTGTCCTAACATATTCTCAAAGTACAGCTAGTGTTTCATTTACCATCATTAAATGTTGGGAGAATTTGTTTCAAAACTACGTGCATTAAATGTTGGGAGATAGGAATTGTCCAGGCCGGGGTATTAGCCAAATTGCCCTTTTGATAGACATGCATCTTTTGCACATACAGTAAATTAAGAGACAACCCAAGTCTAAACAGTCACTTTTTTTTTCGTTATCCTTTTCTGTAAAATACTACCATGTGGATTTCTTAATAAAATTGCAAGGAAATATCTTTAGTCTAAAAACCTGTAGTTACGGTACTCAGCAAAAGATTGGACGTTACCTGCTGCTTGTGGCAGGTTGCGTGTTGGTTAGTTGGTTGTTGCACTGTGTTTGGATGACAAACCGTAACAAAATACGACGTACACTAAACCAAAATTTGTTAGATTAAATGGGCTAAGCACAATTTAATCCTAATAAATTTTATGTGCCCACAATTAATATTAAGAGATTAATATCATCTTAAAAACCAACGTGGAGGGATCTCAACTTAAATAGGCCGCTATAAGAGAGCACAAGTTGCGCAGTTAATATGGTGGTGGGATTGCCACACGTGCGTGCGTGGTGAGCTTGAGCCAAGGGCATGGCGTGGCTGGCTGCTACTCTAGCTAACATTATGTTTTGATGGAAAACATAACCGACGGAGGCACTCATTATTCCATTACTCCTTGATTCTTCTGTTCCTGCGGTTAACAGACAGAAAATTCTATCGGGTTGATTCACCGACGGATGCGCTCGTTACTCTTTGATTCTTTTGTTCCTGCGCTGCGCTTAACTGATCGGGAGTTCAATTGGATTGATTCTTCTATTCCTGTATTATGCATGCCTCTGTATCTCATTGTTTTTTCCATTGCTACGCTTAACGGCCGGGGAAGAATTCAATCGGATTGATTCTTCTGTTCATGCGTTGCGCTTCTATATCTCTGGTAACCGCGGCGTTGCTCTTCTGTATCTCTGGTAACCGACGGAGGCGCTCATAACTCCAGCAGCAACGGATGCGGAATTGAATCGGATTGATTCTGTTGTCACTCCTGTAACGGATGAAGAATTCAATCTCGATTTGATTCCTTCCGGAATGTTACTCTCTCGCGCACTATATAACTCCTACCTCCGAGATAGACAGAGTAGATACAACTCCTCTCTTCATCCTCTCACTCTATTTTCTTCTTGGCAAAACACTTTGTGTCTTCTGTTCCTGTGTTGCGCTTCTGTATCTCGGTTCCAAGCACCCGCCCGCATAGGTTCTCAGGACGAGCGCCTCGGGATATCCGTCCGCTTGAGTACCTCCACAGTTTGGCATGCGATCAAGTTCTTGGAGAGTTCATTGACACACGACTGCTCTCTGCACTGCATCGTTTACTTTCTTTGCATCGACATGTCAACCGGCGTCGGCAATGGTTGAGATGGCGGCAACGGCGACAATGCTGGAGGTGATGGCAACGGCACTAGTGGAGGCCAGAACGGCAACACCGATGGATGCATCAACACTAACACTGCCTCATCCAGTACCATAGCGTTCTCGGGGTATGTCAATTTTATTATTGTAGTAGTAAACATGCATGTTACTAGATGATGCTTATTTTATTATCAGTATATTCATGTTTAGTACTATCACTAGATTATTCTACTACATACACGTCATACTTAGTATGATGTTTTTCTGGATTAAAATATACCGATTCATGACTATATTTCCAACAATCTAAAAACTTGATAGGTCTTTCCCGTACTTGGCTTTGCTGCATCACTAAAATTTCATGCATTTGATGGTTCAAACTATAAGAGATTGAAACCACGTGCACTACTGTGGTTGATAACCATGCAATGCTTCTTTATTTTTCATGGGGCAAGACAACCGAACGACCTTTCTCGCCTGAGGAGGAGGCTAAGTTCGAGTCTGCAGATTGCTTGTTCCGTGGAGCATTGATCAATGTATTAGCTGACAACATAATGGATGTGTACATGCACATGCCTTCAGGGAAGGACTTCTGGGATGCATTTGAGGTCAAGTTCGAAGTCTTCGATGTTGGCAGTGAGTTGTATGTCATGGAGCAGTTCTATGACTACTAGATGGTCGATGTCTGTTCTGTAGTAGAACAAGCTCTTGAGATTCAAATACTGGCAATGGATCTTGAGAACAATAGCTGCCGAACAAGTTCATGGCAGGTGGCATTATTACCAAATTGCCACCTTCTTGGTCAGACTTTGCCACTTCTCTAAAACACAAAGAGGCAAGAGTTCAATGTTACTGATATCATTAGTTCTTTGGGTGTTGAGGATAAGGCGAGAGCAAAGGACAACCGCGGCAAAAAGGTCGAGAGAACTCTTATGCATCTCAAGATAACAAGAAGATTTCAAACTTAATACTACAACCAATTTTAAGAAGAAATGCAAGAGAAAGGCATAGCGCCACAGCTTTATGTGCGGTGAGTCTGGTCATTGGACCAAGAATAGTCCCGATCGCAAGGACAAAAGTCTGCAAACATGGTTAAATCAGTGATCCTACTATATTTGTAAAATCCAAACAAGAGTAATAATAGCCCTATCTCAACCTACGTGGTAGTTGGTAAGCTGCACGTCTATTCGGCAAACATGGGCTGTAATAAAAAAAATATTGAAGCAGGTTTGGAGACGATATTAAATATTGGGGAATAAGAGACATGGGGAAAGAAAAAAACTTCTTTAAAGAAACCCAGTCCAGTAATTTATTCCTGATTGATTGACATGACCGGATCTGCAAGACAACTGATCACACCAAACACCATTTAGAAGAACTCAGCAAATTTCATCAAAATTTATGTTGCGCTCGAAAGCATAAACTACGAGGACGTTTGATTAATTGTCCTTGACCTTGCACAAATTTCTCGTCTCATCCACTACTAAGTGATACCTACTTAGGGGTGAAAACGGTCGGAATCGGTAGCATCTGTTTGAAAACGACGCTCGATCGGCCGGTAATTGACCATATTGATCTTTTACACTACGTAATATCGACATTAATACAATGCAAAAATAAATTAGAAAAAGAACAAGAATCATAAATTGCCAAAAAGGTACACTCGGAATCGGTACCCCTTATACGGAAACGGTATCATAAATTTCCATGACCGTTTTCACCCCTAATACCTATAAAGGAGTCACTGTCTGGAATGGCTAATTTTGGTACATCATTCGTGTATGAATTGGTTTTAATTTTATGTTTATGTCAAAACCTTTCTTTTTTTCTTACGCCAGAGTGTTCTTCTTATACGAGACGGGCGTGAATTAATCGAGCTCGCACCTGAGTTCTTTTTCCACACGCACCTTTTGTGCCGCCGCGATTGGGCCCATAACACCCTTGCGCACGCGATTTTCCGCATCCCTGATTAGGCCCGCGACGCCCACACACGCTCGATTTGTCCTTGCTATATGTTCAATTGGGAAAAACTAAAAATATATATGTTTTTTATCCGGTGTTTTGCCTTTGCCATATGCCCGATTCAGAAAAACTAAACAATTATATGTTTTTTCTTCTGGTGTTTTCCGGTAGCCAGTTTTTTTTCTCATCCTATCCGTTGCACGCCACCGCCACTGGAACGAACCCTAGCACTGCCAGCCCATGAGTATCAGGTCACAAGATACGAGCAGACTGCTACGAGCTACAACTATTCTGAAACCTTCGATGGAAAGATCCCACACAGTAGCTGGTACAGGTTCATGCAGAGAGTGCCATACACCGTGGCATGTAGAATCACTACAAATTTCAGATACATCAGCCATCATGGAGAAAACTATTGAATAGTACCACATTGGTTGTCGAAGGAAAAAAAACCTAATATATAAGTGGGGGAGCCCCTCACCTCATTAGCTAGCTTTTAGGTAGGAAAGATCATTTACAGTCCTACAATTGGTATTAGAGCCTAGCTAGTTTAATATCTCTAGCCTAAGGGACAAAGTATATGAAAGCCTGATAGACCGAGGGCTCATACGGGGCCTGTATACGTAAAGGATTGTCGGGGTACGGTGCATGGGCAGTGAACGGCTGAGGGACACCAATGTGTGTGAAGGGAGAAGACATCGGTTGCTAATATATAAGTGGGGGAGCCACTTATCTCATTGACTAGCTTTTGGGGGTGGGAAAACATTGGTTGCTACTCCCTCCGTTTCGAAATGTTTGACGCCGTTGACTTTTTATCACATGTTTGACCGTTCGTCTTATTCAAAAAATTTAAGTAATTATTAATTCTTTTCCTATCATTTGATTCATTGTTAAATATATTTTTATATAGGCATATAATTTTACATATCTCATAAAAGTTTTTGAATAAGACGAACGGTCAAACATATGCTAAAAAATCAACGGTGTCAAACATTTCGAAACGGAGGGAGTAATATATAAGTGAGGGAATCCCTTATCTCATTGACTAGCTTTTGGGGTGGGAAATACCCTTTACGATCATATAAAAACATACTTAGTACTCCACCAGAAGCATGGCCCCATACCACAAAATGTTTGATAATAAGCATCGTGATACATGAAGCACATGAAAAACATGGTGAGCATTACTGCTGATATTCAAGGCAAAACAAAGAATATAAAAATACTCCCTGGTTTGATTTGTGAAAAAGGTTAAAATTCATGGGGGGTTGTTCTGCCTGACATGTTTAGAGATTTTGGTTTGCAGTAGCTGGGTCAGTCTTCGTCGTAGTAATTGGTGTAGGGGTGTTAAAGATTCAAGGCCCATATATTCTTCCGTAATCATACCTATCCTTGAAATATTTTAGTTAAAAAGCATTTAAAAATTAAAAAAACCCACCCTATTTTGGACCCAACCCTCAAATTCTATAGTCCTGCCCTATAGTAAAGGTTGATGAGGCACATTAAATTTTATATAGTCCTCAAATTTTACGATATTGCATGTACTCATACACATTAAATGGACCGGCGCTTGAGTATATTTGCATAGCCTCGTCACGACCTACGCAGGGCCTGACAATCTGTCCGCTCATTGGCAAATAGGCAGCGATAGGTAAAACATAATCATCTCGCAAAGACAAAAACAAGAAAATAAAAAAAGAAAAACATATATATTCAGTGTCCAAGCGGGTTAATTGGAGAAGAATAAGAATTAACGGTGGGCAATGCGAGACATGGGGAAGGAACATCGTTACACATCAGTTGTAAGCAATAAAGATGGCATTCCTACCGCACATTTGAACAATCTCAGCGACGTCCAAGAGAGCTGCAGTTGCGGAAAGCTGCAGGCAGGCTCACTGCTGTTCGTGGGATTTATGCGGTTAATGTCTAGGAACACTCAAAATAATTTGCCTGCTGATGCTACGTGCTGAACTGGTGAACATGCTGATCCTACTGATTACAAGCGGTGAACTCAATTGGTTAGTCGATTTATACAGTGTGTTAGTCGATATCATATTGGTTAGTCGAGCTCATAAGAAAAAAAAGGGAAGATGGTATAGCTGCCGTTTAGCACCAGAAAGAATGTTTGGTTAATTAGCTTGTTTCCCCCTTCTGCCTCTCTGCTTTTCAGCTTCTTTACTTTATATACTTTATCTATCCCAATTTAATCATTCCTTAAGCAAATGACACCAAGAGCTATGAGACCGAAATATCTATCATTTTGAAATTAATTCTTATCGATCAAGGTGCAATATTGTTTTGTGTCCAACAAAAAATTAATTTACGTTTTAAATGTTGTATGCACGCAGGATATTTCACGATGCAAATCTACTCTTTACATAAATTAAAAAGAGACATTTTGGTAGGTGATGATCATTTGCAGAAAAATCTCAAAAGTATTAGATGATGATCAAATTGGAATGAAGAGAGTACCATATAAAATTATCATATCTATCTATTATATACTATTATATACTAAAAGTCCATTAAACTTTCTACAAACGCTCATAAGCCGTCACGTGGCGCTCCTATAAACGCTCCTAGATCGCCACATAGCATTGTTTAATCTACTTAAATTTGTGGAATATTTTAGACCATTAGATTGGATATATTATTTTTTAAAAAACTAATACTTTTCTCATGTTAACTGTGGGCTGGGAAAGCATGCAAACAAAAACTCCGTATATGTTGTTATGAAATATTTGGGTGATCTCATCCATCTATATGGATAGAGCAGCAATCCACGACGGTTGGTCGTGCCCCACACCTCTTCTCGCCTCACGGCGATTCTAGCAACGGACGCGATGGTTCCCAAACCATCGCGTCTCCGGTTGCCACCACTTTCCCATCTATATATTGTACCGCATTGATCAATAAAGATTCCGCTCATTCATTCTCTATATTCTTGTGTGCAATTCTCTCTCTCACTCAATCCCTCTCGCTCAATCAATCTTATACACTTTCAACACGTTATCAGAACTTTCGCTCTCGCGAAGGAGATCTCGAAGTGAAAGAAAGAAGGAAGAAACCTCGCTTTTTTGATCTACAGGAAAAGCGAAGAACAGAAGGTATGTCTACCTTTATTTCCATCCTCGATGCCATTCTCGGCATCCCTCGCCATGATCACGCACGCCGTCTTTGCCATCTTCATCGACGATCGACAAGGAGGACGCGCCGGGATCTCATGGTGGGGGTTGGTGGCCGGCGCCACTACCCTCGCCGCCGTATGTCTGCCACTCCGATCGTGCCTGCCCCGCTGGTCCCTGACGCGCCTACTCCTTCTCCACCGATCGCTGCACCTTCTCCTCCAATAACTGCCTCGATGAACGCCGGACCTCCTAACCGCGTCCAAGTCCAGGGGGTACAGTATTGTACCACCCATGGATGGACGGCGGTGGCCTCTCCCGGTGGCGAGCTTTGCACCCTCCCACTGGAGATGGAGTCGTCGCCGGCTCCGTTCGTCGCTGTCTCCGACATCCCCGACACCGCCCCCACGACGACGCTGATTCCCAACTCCCACGCCACCGGTAGCCGCTCAGCCACCTCCACTGCCACCACGCCGAAGTCGCTTCCCCACTCCCGAGCCGCCGGGCTACGGCCGGACCGGGACACTTGCCATGCGCAGGGGGGAACCGCCGCTCTTCACTCCTCCTTCGTCGCGCCCATACGCCGGTGCCGCCGCTGCGCGCCGTCCCGTCCTCCGCGCCACGATTGTCGTTCCCCACGGATCTCCTAGCCGGACCCTAGCAAATGGGGTCATGGGGAACTGCATCCGGGTCCGGCCGGCCTCCGACTCCAATGAGGAGTGGGGGGTGACGGCCTAACCCGGCCGGCAAATCGCCGGCGAACGGAGGGATGGCTGCGGCAGGAGACTAAGGAGGAGGCGGCGGTTGAGGCGGAGGCGGCAGAGGCGGCGGCGGAAAGGCGGGGGAACGGCGGCCAACAGGGGCGAAAACGGCGGCGGCGGCTAAGGCGGCGGCGACGACGGTGGT